TGGACTTAAAGAGAGAAGGCAGGTGAAGGTCATAGAGGAACCGACGTGTGAGGTCCCATAGCTCCTGTGTGGAGCTGCTGGGCTAGAGCCTGGCTCCCAGCTCCCGGTTCTGTGACCCGTTTTCAGTCGCTCGTGTGATGACTTAGCTCTCTTGCCAGTGAAAAAGCATTTCTGACTGCAGCAGGAGTGCCTCTAGTGAGACTGGGGGTGGACGCTCGCTGGACTGCCCAAGGAGCCTGTGGAACCCCTTGCCCTGGGAAGCTTTGAGACGAGACATCTTGCTGGATCTTGGTTTTAGGCACAGCCCAGCCCACAGGGTGGTGTCCCCAGGGTCTGGTTCTTCCCTTCCCCCTTCCCCTGACAGACAGACCAGTGCTCCAGGCCAGCAAGTTCTGGCAGACAAGACCTCCTGAGGGTGGCCTCTTAATTCAGCCTTGGCAGTGCAGAAAGGTCAGCGGAGGGGGAGGGGGGGCAGCGTGGCCTTGGCTGAGCTCTCTTTTTACAACCCAGGTGGCGGGTAGCCCACTTGTCCTGCCTCCCCTGCACCAGCGGCTTCCTTAACCATGGCCACAGCCCTCCAGGCTCGGCGAGCCCAGAAGGTCAGGGCAGGCTGGCAGCTGGGCCTTCTGGCCCAAACCCTTTCTCCCTCCCTCTCCCCAACCCAATGCCCTTCTTTATGGTCTAATCCTCCCAGTGGTCATGGTCCAGCTGAACGCTCCCCTGACCACCCAGCCTGAACTGACCACTCGTTCTCAGAGCACACTGCCTGGTGCCTGCCCGTAGCGTGAGCTGGAGTCGTTGTGTGGACACATGTCTCTCCCCAGCTAGGTGGTGAGCTCTTTGACTCAGGGACCCCTTTTCATAATCTCATCTACGATAACAGGGCACTCTTCCTGGGTCCCTGACATAGCATCAGCCTCTAGGATGGAGACCTGTTTTGCCTGGTCTCAGAGCCATGGAGTGGAAGAGTGGTTGGCCTGGGTTTGTTTATCTGGGTTAAGGGCCTCAGACCTCCTCTGGGGATAGTCAGTGTGTCAGCACTTGTGTTCCCATGCTCCCTGCTTCACACAGACAGGACATCTTGTAAGGCCTGTGCGCTTGTGGGGTGGTAGGGACTGGGGGAGTTGCACAGGGAAAAGGCGAAGGCCCAGGCACTTCCTTGCAGCCTCTCAAGTGCTCAGAAGGCCCAGGAGAAGTGGGAGCCGAGAGGCAGCTGTCTGGCTGTCATGGGCAGAGGGGAGGAGGTGGCCACATGATAAGGAGGAGGTTCTGAGAGGGCGCCTCAAGCTGTGTATCCAGTGGGAGGCCATGGCCCTGGCACCGCCTCGTTCTCAGGTGACCAGTCCACCAGCAAGGCCTCAGCTTCCTCTTGCTGCTGGGAGATCCCCGGATCCAAGGATGGCAAGAGTGAATTCACAAAGTCCTCACCCCAGGTGCCCACTCACGGTGGGCAGATTGTGCTGGAATGGACCTCTCAGATCCTCTCATTAGCCTGCCTTCGGTCCCTCTCCTCCCACTGAAGGCTCTCTCATTTCCACAGGTCGGAATGAGCTGATTGCTCGTTACATCAAGATCCGGACCGGGAAGACCCGCACCAGGAAGCAGGTGGGCCCTGGGAGACGGGTATGGTTCCTCGGGCAGGCACCCCGGCACCAGCCTGCTCCCAAGGTGGGCTAGGTCCTCCTCAGGACTAAGTGTGGGCTCTCTGCGGGACCGGCTTGGATGGGTTGTCTCTTTTTGGTGTGCCAGGGACAGTTCATTTTCCCTGCTGCCCCTGCTGCTGTCCCTCGTTTTCCTGGGGAGTCAGCAGCCCCCTCCCCATCCTTCTCCAAGACAGCAGAGGATAGAAAGCAAAGCACTGGAGCTGCACTTTTATTTATTGCCCAGTTGTGGATTAGACAACTGAGGGCCCCTCATTGACGGACCCTTTCTTTCATTCACGCACACGTCCATTTACTCCTTTAGTCCACAGAAGTGGATCTAGGCCATGGAGGGCTGAGGGTCAGGGCCCAGGCTGGGAGCCAGGCTGTCTGGGACGGTGGGTCAGGAGCCTTCTCCTCTTGCCATAGGTCTCCAGCCACATCCAGGTGCTGGCTCGTCGCAAAGCCCGTGAGATCCAGGCCAAGCTAAAGGTAAGGCCCGTGGCAGCTGTGGGAGGAAGGACCTAGGGCACAGATGGGGCCGTTTTGGGAAGTTGGGGCTCTTTTTCCAGCAGGAAAAGGCTTCCCTTTGTGCTTCGAGGCTGGCTGCTGTGTATGGAGCCAGCATGCTTCTTGGTATTGGGGAGAGTGGGGTTCAGCCTGTAACCTCTCCTGTCCACACAAGGAGGGGCACTTGACCTTAGAGCCACGTGTGTGACTACCGGGCTCCACAGTGTCCTGGGGCCACAGGTCAGTCTCCTGCTGGGCCCTCCTCCCCCCAGGGGCAGTGCCCTCACCAGATCACAGCGGAACACCCTCCAGACCCCACTCCCGGAAGCCTCCTGGAGCCCCCTGGCTGGTGCTATCAGCTGGTGCCTCCAGGGTGGTCAGGCATGGGAGGCATTGCTGTGGGCAGTTCAGATGCTGCTGTGGGAGCAGGTGGAATTCCTTCCCACGCCCTGCTCTCCGGGACTGGCAGTTCCTTCCCCTTCCTGGATCAGCCCCTCCTTGAGTGACAGGTGACTGTTCTGTGGAGGGCCAGCTGCTGGCAGCATTCCCTTCGGGGCGGCCCTGCTCCTCATAGGACCCAGGCCTCTCGGACCCTGGCCAGGGGGCCCTTTTGAAGGAAGCATTGCATGGAGGTGTTAAGTCTCTCCAGCCACTTGGTAAGAAGAGCTAATAACATTTGGGGGCATTAGACTAAGACAGTGGTCGGCAAACTCAATAGTCAACAGAGCCAAATATCAACAGTACAACGATTGAAATCTCTTTTGAGAGCCGAAAACCAACTTCTGCGCATGGGCCATGAAGTTTCAATCGCACTGTATGTGCACGCCCACACGTATTTTTGGTGGAGCCACACTCAAGGGGCCAAAGGCCACGATTTGCCGACCACTGGACTAAGACCAGCAGTTTACAAACAATTTTTGTAAAGCAGTATAAGTCCCTTTAGTTTTGTTTCCCCCAAACAAATATCACCCCAATTTGTTATTAAAGGAACTACTTGGGTCAGCGCTAGGCTGGTGAGGAACAAAGGCCAGAGACTCCCTCCTTCTATTCACCTCTCATGCCATGGCTCTTGAACCCCAAATTACCCAGTTTAAAAGCCCTGGACTAGATGACCTTGAAGGTCCTGTGTGGCCCAGTGGTTCACAATCCGACTCTGGAGGTTCTGAATGAGTGGGTGAGGACGCCTAGGGAGTCACACCCTCCGCTTCTAAGCTTTTTCCTCCTGCCAGCAGCCCAGCTGTCCCCACCCCCTCTGTCCCCGGACAGCTGGCTGGGCCTCAGCTGTTCATGCCTCCCTCTCAGGCTGGCACATGCCCCTCCAGGCCATCCTCAGGGTCCTGGAGCCCAGCTTGCCCCTCGTGTCCCCCTCTGGTCTGCCTCTGACTCACTGGGACCCTGGGCGGGGCCAGAGTCGGGAACAGACTTTCCAGTGTTCTGTTTAGAGTCATTGAGGGGAACTTGTAGTTCATTGGGCCTGGCTGTGCAGCTCACATTTGCTTAGAGGAATTGCTCTCCTCCTTGTCCACAGACTCTAACTTGGGGCCAAGGGACAACCACTAGGCAAACATCAGGGAACCATGAGCCCCTTAAACCATATGCAGATTTTCACTCCTGTGTGGAGAGTGGCCTGAGGATTTCATCAGACTCTCAGAGGGGTTTCAGAGCAAGGTCAGGTAGACATGCTCCGGGTTCCAGGCTGGGTCTGGCCTCACTCTGCCTTGTGCTGCATGAGCTTAGGTGAATCACTGCCGCTTCCTGAGCCCCAGCCAGGCTCCCCGTGTGTAAATGACAGGGTTAGGCAAAGCAGTATCCAGTAAGCACACCCTCAGGTGAGTAAAAAGCGTTATTAGTACCGTTAGTATTGTTAGCAGTGTCATATGTGCTTATCTAAGTGGTGTGGGGGTGAGCAAGCCTGTGCAGGGGAATTTGTTCTTCATGTTAGACCCACAGAGGGCAGACAGCCAGTGGTTACGGTACATCCTGACTGTAAAGAGCAGGGAGTGCTGGGGCCCCCACAGGGCAGGATTGAGACAGGTGGGGTCCCAGGAGATTGTCCGTGCCTCCAAACAGCCAAGGGCGACCCCCGCTCACCCAAGGGGGATCCGACAGAATTGTGTCATCTGCTGTGAGCCAGGCTGCCCCAGCACCAGTGGGGTGGGGACGAGCAAGAACTGAAAGGTTCCTGTTCTCAGCTTGTGGTCGCCAGGAGGGAGGGGAGAGGGTGGAAGAGGTGAGGGGGAATAAGTAGTTCAAATTTGCAGTTATAAAATAGATGAACCACAGGGGTGTAATGTGCAGCACAGGAATACAGTCAGTAACACTGTGATAACTTCGCATCATGACGGATGGTTACTAGGCTTAGTGTGGAGATCATATTGTAAGATATGTGTTAACTCACTATTTTGTACATCTGAAATTAATACACTATTGTATGCTACCTATACTTCAATAAAAATTTGTTTTTTAGTCTGAAAAATAAGTAAATAAATAAAAGGTCCCTGTTCTCATGGCCGTGGTAGTAAATGGAAATATATGGTCTAGCAAATGGTGTTCCCAGAGTCTCTTTACGTGCTAGTCACATAAGCAGGACAAGTATTGTGCCTCTTTGAGAGATGAAGAAACTGATCTGAGGAACCACGTGACTTGCTCAGAGTCACAAAGCAAAGTAATAGCTTTGCAAGAACATATGCCTGTTCCCTGGGGGCCTGCCTAGTCCAGGGCTCTGGCTGTGGACAGTGGGACAGCTTCCCTGACCACAGGCCCTCCCTGCCTCGCCTCGCTGCTGCTGAGGCCCTCCCCTCCACTGTCTTCCCCCAGGATCAGGCAGCTAAGGACAAGGCCCTGCAGAGCATGGCTGCTATGTCGTCCGCCCAGATCATCTCCGCCACAGCCTTCCACAGTAAAATGGCCCTTGCCCGGGGCCCTGGCTGCCCAGCAGTCTCAGGGGTAAGTGGGGCTGCCTGGAGCCAGAGGCCAAACCAGCCTCTCCTTCTCGCTCCTCCCCCTTCTGCAGAGCCAGAGCGCCGGCCAGACCAAATTTCTCTTACTCGAGCCCTCGCAGGCCAGGCGAGCCAGGGGGAAGGAGGGACCAAGGACCGAAGGGCCATGCTGGGTGGCAGCTCAGCTGGTTTTGGAACTACCTTCTTGGGGGTATTGGCAGGAGCACAGCAGACCTTGCACAAGGGACAGGGACGCCCCCATTAGCTGACCACCCAAGAGGCTCCACAGAGTTGGCCTAATGGACCAAAGGAGAAGCCGAAGTTGTGGGGACGGGGGCTGAAGCCGGGCTCTGGTGTGGGCCAGCGTGGCTCTGAGTGGCCCTGCCACTTGGCCGGGTCCCCACTGCTCCCTCAGGTCCCCACTCCTCCTCCCTCCAGCTGCAGGACTGATGTCCATCAACAAACTCTTGTATGAATTTTAAATGTTTGGCCTAAGAGCTGGCCTCTCAGCCATGGCCAGGGGGCTCTCACTGTCAGAGAGGCCCTGACAGGCTCCTCCTCCCCACGGCTGTGTCCTCATGGGGTTTTCTTTGCTGCAGGCACTAAACGGGTCTTCAAGAGCTGCCCAAAAGGCAGTGACAGGCCCTGTCCTGGGCTCGGGGAAGCTCATGTCTAGCAGATTTTCCAAGGGTGTTCCAGAGAGCTTTAGTCCGCAGACTGGTTAGATAGATAGGACAATAAGGGATTCTATGCTTATGTAAGTTTGGGGCACTTAGGATTGACTTCGTTTCCTGACTGTAGGACTGTTCAGAGCCTTACGTGCTGCTGTGCACTGTGGATCTCTCTCGCGCGGAGGAATATGAGATGCTGTTTACCCAGCGGGGTGCTTCTCCCGGGAAGCACCTTGTAAGCAGGGGGTGTCCAGAGACCAGAGTGCTTGAGGCACAGGGGGACGCTGCTGTAGCCAAGCACTAGACTAGCAGTAACTCTCTCCCTGCACCCCCGGGCCTAGGCTCCAGCTCACCCTCCAGCTGAGGCCACAGCACCGACTCCCTACACCAGGGCTCTTGTGCACGTGAGCTATGCTGACTCTACGCTTTTTGCCTCCTCAGTTTTGGCAAGGAGCTTTGCCGGGCCAAGCCGGAACATCCCACGAGTGAGTATGGTCTGCTCCCAGCTGCCCCTGAACTGACCTGGAGTGCATACACTCAAAAGGTTGAGCCTGGGCCGCAGGGTGTGGCAGGGCTGTAGTTTGGGGTCCACCTTTTATTACGGCCTTGAGCTTGGGGATCCGGCTCTCCTGCTCTCAGGCAGCAGCTCAGTCTACCCTGTGGCCAGCCTGTGGTGGCGTTTGCCAAGACACCAATCTGTCCATGGGGTAGCAGGGCCCGGGGTTGGGACCCCAAGGGAAGTGGGCTGGGAACCAGGGCTCTGGCTGGCCTGGGAGGGAGGGACAGAGAGGGGTGGGTTTTTTCAGTAGACATGCTGCTTCTGTGGATCAGCCCTGAAACACGAGGGAGTTGGCAGGAGAGGAAGTGGGAGGCCAAAGCCACCAAGGCCACCGATGACCAGACCTCCGCCCTGCCGCACAGAGAGCGATGGACGCTGCCGGAGGCTCGGGGCTGCATCCTGCCACGGGCTTACACCTCCTCTCTTCCCCTCCCGCAGTGTGAAACCCTTCTCTCAGCAAACCTACACTGTCCAGCCTTCGCTGCCTCTGCCAGGTGGGTCTGCGGTGACAGCTCCCTCGCCTGCTATGCCCCTGCAGCTCCCGCCTCCGGTCCCAGGTGCCCAGCAGCTGGAAAGGGAACCCTTAGTAGCAGAGGGAACCCCTCCTGGGAAGAGGCCAGAGCAGGCGCAGGTCCAGCAGCTGGGCCAGCGCAGGAGCTCACCCCCTTCTGCTCAGTGACCAGCTCTGTCCTTGCCTCTTTCTCATGAGGGTCCCTCACATGTTCCACTCCACAGGACAAGAAGGATCCTCACCCTTCAGCACCTTTTCTGGCTCGGGGAGTGGCTGCTGCCCACATTGTGCCTGGCCTTTCCTGCTCCGAGGGCTGCCGCCTGGGTTCCTCCCCGCCCTGTGCATCTGCCTTCTCCTGTCCTGGCCTCCCTGGCCTCCCTGTCCTTGCTCAGGCCTTCCTAGATCTTGCCCCTGGATCACAGCGGCAGCCTCTTTCCTGGCTCCAGGGCTCCAGTCTCTTCCCTTCACCCTGTAATCCCCCTAGTCATCTCTTTAAAGCACGCATTTCAACATGTTGCCTCTAGGCGTGGAACCCTGTAATGGCGCTGGTGCCTTCAGGGTACAATGTGAACTGGTAGGACTTGCAGGGCTCCTCTGTTAAACCTCACCTTTCTCCCCTCTCCTCCCCTCCCTCACCACTGCCCTCCCTGCCTCAGCCTGTTTCTCAGGCCTCCCTCACCCCCAGATTAGGAGCCCTGCTGTTGGCCCCTGAGCACTGCACCCTGCCCAGCATCTGACTGTGGTCATCTGTGGCTGATTTGTCCACCTTCTCCAGTGCCCTGTCCTGCCGCTCTCAGCAGGCCCTCAGGAAGCATGCTTGAACAAATGAATGAATGACTCAGCTGATGCTTTAAGCACAGGCTAATGTGTCTGTCCAGCTCGGCCCCTGCTACCCCTCTGGCTACCATTTCTTCCCACCTCCCTTTTTGAACCTCAGTGTATGGGGCCTCCATTCATCAGAGGCCCAGCCCGAAAGGAACACTAGTGCCGTCCAGACAGCCTCGCTGCTCTCTCATCCGTCAGTCTCCAAGGCCTGGGCCTGTCCTTGCTTCCTGTCCCTCTGTGCCCTCCTCTTCTCTCCACCGCACTTAGTTCAGATCCTGCAGGACTGTGCTTCTGACCTGCCTTGCCCACCCTGCCAGTCCTCCTCCAGACGGAATAGGGTCTTTCAGAAATGCAGCTCTGAGCATTTCCCTGCCCCGCCTAAAACCCTGCCCCTCTCCCAAACCCTCAGGCTAAAATTCACACTTCTCAGCCCAGCCCCTCTCTTCAGCCTGTTCCTGCCCCTGGTACAAACTCACAGGCTGGAGTTTCCAAACTCTGGGGAGTGTCTCACAGCCCCCAGGCTTTGCCTCTGCTGGGTCCTCTGCTCCTCTGCTCCGAACACCTTTTCCCTGGCTTCACCTACTGCTTCTACATCATAACTTCTTTCAATCGCCACCTTCGGAAAAACCTTTCCTGTCCACCCCAAGTGGGACTAGGAGCTCCTCTTTGGTGCTGAGTGTATACCTTGTCGATTTCAGTCCCGTTCGCGACTTCCTCTACTGCAGGCCTGTGTCGGAGTGCCTGTCCTGGGCCAGACACTGCTCGGTGCTGGAGAGAGAGCAGGGAATCCCGCTCTCTATAGTTCTCTATGTCGATGTGATTAATGATGGTCTGGTAGCTCCGCTGGACCAGAAGCTCCTTGAGGGCAAGAACCCAGCAGAGCCTGCTCCGGAAGCCCTTTCAGCCCAGCAGGCATGCAGTCTCTCCGGAGTGCAGGGCAAGGGGACTGAGTTGTACCAGGCAGGCTAAGCCCTCCCTCCACCGGAGCTGCTCCTGCACTTGCCAGCCAGTGCTTTGCTCTCCCCTCCACCCCCCTGTCAGAGCCCATTTAGGGAAGGATGGTGATTCCCTTGCTAGCACGGTCTCACCGGTGGGCCTGGGGTCCTCACATAAGCTGTCGGCAGGGAGGGCATGTGTGAACAGGCTCGCATGTGCCTCTCCCACTGCCTGCAGGGTTCGAGTCTCCTTCAGGAGCCGCCCCGTCGCCCTCAGCACCCCCAGCACCACCATGGCAGGGCCGCAGCGTGGCCAGCTCCAAGCTCTGGATGCTGGAGTTCTCTGCCTTCCTGGAGCAGCAGCAAGACCCCGACACGGTAGGTCCTGGTCCCTGTCTGGCTGCTTTCACCCCGGAGCTCCCCCACCTTCTCCGGCTCTTGTTCCTCCTGCCCCTGGCTTCCTACCCAACTCTCTGCCCCACTCAGCTGTGGGCTTGACTTTAGGTTCCTCATTTCTTTACAGCCTTTCCTTCCCTTGAACTTCTCTCCCCTTTTTCTTTCCTTCCTCAAGCCCCTCCCTCTTCTTCCCTCACTTCACCTTCCCTACCAAGCCCTCCCATGGTTTCTTTGCTCCATTTCCATTCTCTCAGGTCCTCCCCCTTTCTTGCTCCCTCCCTGACCTCTATTCTTCCCTCCATGTTCCCTTCCCTCCCAGTGAAACCGGTCATTGCAGCCTCACCCATCCTTTCCCTGTGGCTCTGACCCACTCCCCCTTCAGCGGCTGGTTCCTAGGTGATCAGTGTCCCCTGCAAAAGTCAGAGTAGTACGGGGAGGAGGCTGGGCAGACAGGGACTTTGTGGCCGTCTCACTGTGACATTTCCAACTTGTCTTTTAGCTGAGAAACTCGTTAGTCAAATAAGCTCCTTCTCAGAAGCCCACTGTGTGCAACAAAAATAGATTTCGTTTGGCTGTAGCAACAGAGGCGCCCAGCCTTGTCTCCACGGGTGGAGCACAGTTCAAAAACACCTCGAGGTCAGTGGTCTGACCTCACAGGTGAAATAACAGAGGCCCAAAGACAGAAAAAGACTTGCCTAAAGACAGCTCCTGGCAGAGGCAGGACTACGAATAGTACAAATAACAGCTACAATTTGTTGAGCACCTACTGGGTGCCAGACACCACACCAGATGCTGTATACCATCCCTTTTTAATTTTGCTTTATCGTCAATCCTTTGTCTCCATTTTACCAATGGGGAAACTGAGGTCCAGGGAGGTGGGGTTACTCACTCCCCGTCGCACGGCTGGGATCTGAGTCTGGTCCGTTTTGTCTGCCCTGCCACCCCTGCCGCTCCCTCAGACCAGCTGTTTTCTCCACAGTACAACAAGCACCTGTTCGTACACATTGGCCAGTCAAGCCCAAGCTACAGTGACCCCTACCTGGAAGCCGTGGACATCCGCCAGATCTATGACAAGTTCCCAGAGAAAAAGGGTGGCCTCAAGGAGCTCTTTGAACGGGGACCTTCCAATGCCTTTTTTCTCGTGAAGTTCTGGGTAAGCCCTCGATAGACTCTCCCTCTCTACCCTCAGCACGCTGATGAAAGTGAGGAGAAAAGAGAGAGAGTGGCACCCGGTGTTCTTGCCATGGTGGAAACCTGGGGAGCACAGGGCCAGTGAGAAGGGGAGTAGCGAGCACTGATGACTGAGCCTGGGAGCTGGGCCAGTGGAGCTGGTGAGCTGGGCTAGTACGAGGCCCTTTTCTGAGCCGTGGCAAAGGCAGCCAGGCCCGGCACAAGAACAGCCTTTAGAGGGCTGTAATATTGGAAGACTTACAAGAGATACTGAGGGGTAGGTGAAGAGCTAGCGTGGACCCCCTAGTCACCTTAGTCTTTGAATGGCAAGTCCTGAGGGGGTTGTAGGGCCTGGAGCAGGGCAGTTGGTTCCTAAAGGCTCATCTCCAAGGACAGGGCTTAGAGAAGAAGACTTAGGTCTAGGAAATGTCACCCCAGAAGAATCACTCACCTAACTTTACAAATAGCTCAGCCTGTAGACTTGGTCCCTGCTGCTCCTTCCGCTCGCCCCTGGATGGGTGTTAGAGTTCCATCCTTTCAAAATATCTTCTTCAAGACTAAGAGGCATAATTAATACCTGCTCTAGAGCTTACTTTTGAGGGGCCCAGTACACACGGAAAAGGGATGTAGGGCCCAGCTGGCGTGGCTTAGTGGTTGAGCTTCGACCTATGAACCAGGAGGTCACAGTTTGATTGCCCGGGTTGTAGGCTTGGTCCCCAATATGGGGTGTGCAGAAAGCAGCCAATCAATGATTCTGATCGTTGATGTTTCTTCCTCTCCTTCCATCTCTGAAATCAATAAAAAAAAATTTAAAAGAAAAGAAAAGGGCTGTAGGGAAGAGTCAGACAAGTGCAAACTAAGTCAGCAGCGAGGAAGTGCAGGAAATCCTCTGGTTTGTGATTGGAGCCTTTGAATAGTTTCAGGGCACTGACACAGGCCTGGGCGGCTCCTCCCACATTCCTCTCCCTAGCACCCTTATTAACACCCAGAGACAGCTCAGGGTTTCGTATCCTTTGCGAGGTCCCAGACCACTTTGATTACCTGGAAGCTTTACTTTTCATAGAAATAGGCTTATGCACACTAAATTTTACACAGTACACATTTCTAGGTGGCTTACCGGGCCCTGGCTGGACTCCTAGCCTAGCTCTCACCCACAACAAACCCTCAGGGCTGGCTCTCTCCCAAGGGGCAGGTGCTGGCACTGAGACCCATGCCTGATCTTCCAGGTGCTTAGTTTTTGCACTCTGCGAGACAGCGTGCTCCGTGATCAGGGTGGCAGTGGGACCTGAGCCTTTAGGTGGGAGATCTATTAGGGATGGGAAAGGCTATTACAGCCTGGGAAAGGCATAGGAAGTGGGCTCCAGAGGGATAGTCATAGGTACAGGTGTGTGAGGAGATAACAGAAATAAAACTGCAAAGGTGTTAGATCCTGGGAGGCCCTGATCATAAGAAGTTTGGGTTTTAATCTATCCTGGGATGAAAAACAGGTAATCATTTCTTTTACTTTTATCTTTTAAATTAATGCGTGCTCATGTTATATTGTTTTATACCAAGAGGTTTCCAATGAAATGCAACAGATTCTTGTCCTACTCCTCCCCAATCCCAATCCCCAGAGACAGTCGCTGTAAATTTTCAATGTTTATTCTGTCTTTTATCTCCCTAATTCTTAATAATATGCTTATACTGACATACCTGGATGTCATGACCAAGATATTTATTCTTAAGTCAGAAAAAAATTAGCTGAGAGAGGGAGGGAGGAATGAAGAAAGGGAGGAAGGGAGAGAGAGAGAAGAAAGAGAAACATTGATTATCTGTTCACTTATTTATACACTAGAGGCCCGGTGCATGAAAATTCATGTACTGGTGGGGTATGGGGATCCCTCAGCCTGGCCTGCACCCTCTCAATCTGGGAGTCCTCAGGGGATGTCCTACTGAGGGCTGGGGAGCGGGCCTAAGCCATGGTCTGGCTTCCCTCTGCAGGGCACAACTGGGCCGGCCCATTGGGACCGTGCCATCCCCATTACACACACCCCTCCACTGTTGCTGCCTGGCCTCCCTCTGCGAGAGACAACCAGACTGGCCAATCAGGGAATGGTACTGGCCCCACCAATCACCCCTCCACTGCTGCTGGTCACCATTTCCTCCCTCTGCCCGCTGGCATGTGCCTTGGTTGGCCTGGCACCGTACCCTGCCAACTGCTCATTCCTCATTCAGTCGATTTGCATATTATGCTTTTATTATATAGGATTCATTATTATGTGCTATAACCAGAGATCAAACCCGCAACCTTGGCCTATTATCATCATACTCCAACCAATTGAACTACTGGGCCAGGGCTTCATCATCCCTATATATCTAAGTTACATAATTTAATCAAAGCCAAGAAATATATTGTGATGAATTTTATTTCTAATACAGACTTTTGTGTGTTTTTTTCCTACAAATGAATGGCTTTCTCACTTGCATATTTTCAGTTTTTTTAAATCCTCACCTGAGGGTATTTTTTTCATTGATTTCTAGAAAGAGAGTGGAAGGGAAGGAGGAGAGGGAGAGATGTGTCAACATGAGAGACAGATGAATTGTTTGCCTCTAGCACAAGCCCCTACCAGAGCTGAGGAACCTACAACCTCGGTACATGCCCTTGACCGGGAATTGAACCCTCAACCCTCTGGACTGACATTCTAACCACTAAGCCAAACCAGTCAGGGCTCACTTCCATATTTTTAAATGAACCTATTATTAAAATGTTACATATTGTTCCATTATAACTACCATATAAAAATTTTTTTCAAATATTTTTATTGATTTCAGAGAGGAAAGGAGAGGGAAAGAGATAGGAACATCATTGACGAGAGAGAATCATTGATTGGCTGCCTCCTGTACCCCTCTATTGGGGATCGAGCCTGCCACCTAAGTATGTGCCCTGATTGGGAACTGAACCGTGACCTCATAGTTCATAGGTCAATGTTCAACCACTGAGCCACACCTGCTGGGCCTGATACTTTTTTACTGAAACATTCCTAGATCTGTACTTTCCTAGGTCTAATTTCTCTCTGTTTAGGTGTCCTGCCTCATTTACTAGAACATATTCTCTAGTACCTTCCTAAGGAAAGATAGCGTGATAGGTAAATTTTCTAAGTCTTTGTTTAAAACGTCTGTTTTGTACTTGATTGATAGATTGGGTATAGAATCTAGATCATAAGTCGTTTTCACTAGAAATGATTTTTAAGAATTATTTTTTAGCCCTGGCTAGTGTTTCTAAGTGGTTAGAGCATCCACCTATGCACCAGAGGGTCATGGGTGTGATTCCTGGTCAAGAGCATGTACCTAGGTTGCAGGTTTGATCCCAGGCCTGGTCAGGGAACATGCAAGAGGCAACCTAAATCAATGTCTCTCTCACATTGATGTTTCTCTCTCTCTCTCTCTCTCTCTCTCTCTCTCTCTCTCTCTCTCTCTCCCTATTCCTTCCTCCCTACCTTCTTCTCTCTAAAAATCAATAGAAAAAAAATATCCTTGAGTGAGGATTAACTACAACAACAACAAAATAATTTTTTAATGCATTGTTCCATTGTCCTCTAACTGTGTAGTCTGAAAGCATTCTCATTCTCTGTCCTTTGTTGTGTAACTTGTTGAGGGATGTTTTGTGTTTTGTTTTTGTTTTTTTTGGTCTCTAGAAGTTTTTCATTTCTTCTCTATTCCTTATGTTTTGTTTTTTTTGTGTTTTGTTTTTTTTAAATGTTTTTTAATGTCTTTTTATTGATATTTTAGAGAGAGAGAAAGGGAGAGAGGAGGGGAAGAGAGAAACATTCACCCTGACCGGGGATCAAACCTGCAACCTGGGGGTGTGCACTGACCCAGAACCCAAATGGCAATCTTTCAGTGCATGGGTTAATGCTCTAACTAACTGAGCCACACTGGCCAGGGCATATCCCTTATGTTCTTACATTTTACATTGAGGAGCTCTTGTGTTATTCTGCTTCCTATTTTTAAGCCCAACGCTTGGTAGACGCTTTTAATCATGAGGTTAGCATCTCTTAATTTTGGAAATTTTACTTGTATTATTTCTGTGATAATTTCTTTCCCTCTTTTTCTTTCTGTTCTTTTCCAGGAACCCCTATTAATCTGATGTTGGATCTCCTGGACTTACCCTCTATGATTTTTATCACTTCTTTATTTTCAAATTCATTTTTTTAAAGATTTCCTTAACCCTGTTTTCTAATTCTTCTGAATTAGTTAAGAGTATATCTGAGTGCATGTTACATAAAACCCAGGTACAGTACGTTTGGAGATAGGCTGTCCAGGGGCTGACCGTGCTCTGACTGTGTCTCAGTACCTGGCCTCTGTCCTCACGGTGGTGGCTGTTGGAGTCCAGCCATCACACCGATATCCCAGGTCTCAGGAGGGAGGAAGCCAACGTAGTTCCCTTCAAGGAGCCTTCCTGGAAGTCCACACAACACTTAATTAGCTGTGTGTTGTGCCTAGCTACCGAAGAGCCAGGGAAATGTACTCTTAGTTGAGTAAATTGCCTAATAAATCAGGGTTCAGTTGATAGATTTCTCTTTCTTAGTGGTCATGACTCATTGTACACTTCAGGGTGAATTAGATGAATGAAATATGGTGGCATTCTCTGCCACACCTGTCCAATGTTGAATGTTGACCATAAACCTTTTAATTTTTAAGAACCTTTTTGTTCTTTGATTATATCCTGGTCTTGTTGGACGGATACAGTTTATCTCTTATATTTCTGGGAATATGAAGTGAAAAAAAATTTCATCCTTTTTTGTCTTTGTTTCCCTTTAATCCTTTTTTTTTTTCTGTCAGTTTTAGTCTCTGTCTTTCAAGTTAGGATTTCTCAAATATCTATAATCCTTGACCATATTTTTTGGCCCATATTTTTTAATAAAAGCATAATATGCTAATTAGACCAGACAGCCGAACAACCTCCCAGACGTCATTCTGGACGTCTTTCTGGACAAAGCTGTG